TCATGTGTTTTAAAGTCCATAGCAATAAAACACAAAATGGCCTTAGGTTCTAGCTATATAGCCATCCATACGTAACCAGTATGGATGTAAGGAAGACTTTAAGGCTTTGGTTAAAATGTTAAATATACTTCTCTTTAGAAAGAGATGAGAAAATATCTGTGTAGAAAATGGAATTTAAAGTAATACTGATACAATAGGTGAGCAAGTGAAGCTCTTTGTAGGACTTGATTTCAGCCTGTGAAATGTGTATTAGAACCCTGGAAAGCTGGTGTCTGGAATCACAGTTTCATGTTTGTTAGTCTGCCCTGATCTACTCTAACTGCTTTGTAGTCATAGCTGGAGATCCTGTGGAGTTTTGTTTTTCTGAAAAGTGTAGTTATTCAGAAATGCTGCATTCAGCCTTGTTGATTGAAGCAGTATCACGTGTGCTTCCAACAAGGAAGTTTATGGATGGCATTGACGTTGCATTCATTTACAGCAGAATAGACTACTGATGTGTGCTCAGTAGTAGCAGTCTGCTTTCAGTAGGGTAAATCAAAATACCCATAGGTTCACACATAATTAGAAACTTCCAAACAGACAGTGAGGCTTCTTTGAAACCCCATCATTACATCTTGCTTGTGAATGCTTTAATGCTAGCTTAAGCTAGGGATTATTTTGTGTACCAAGCTGGTAGGTGTAGGTGCTTGTGTTTACTTTAATACATTCTGAACTGCTTTTGGTGGGTTGTTAAATGATTTAATATTGGGTTATGTAAGCATACAGAGGATGCTGTTTTGTTAATGCAGTTGACCTGACAGTATGTATGTAATATGCACATGGAACATTTTGTGACTGTATACTTTAAGATTGTTTATATATGTCTGTATTGCATAACTGTAATTTCTTTGGGGAATATGTAGACATACTGTAAGCACTGGATGAGTTGCACTTGTCTTTGGAGGGAAGCATGGCAAAAGAAAAGAGGAAAAAGCTATTGACTGAAACAGGGAAATAAGTGTTAAAAAAAAAAGACACTGCTGTAGCAAACGTAATCTGACCTGTCAGAGTAGTTCTCACTCTAAGAAGTCCATTTCACACCATAAGCACTGCCACCTCTTCATGCCTGAGAGCTAACTACCTGCATAAGAGCTGGGTAGAAAAGTTGGAAGGGAATAATGAAGTTGACAAGCCTTGTTCAGGTCTTTGTGTGGGTTGGGTTTTTTTGTGCCCTTAAAGGAAAGCAAGCTATCGAATGGGCAAAAGGAAGAAAATACAAATATACGAAAGTTTAAACAATGTACAAAATATATTAAAAAGTGCACGTTAATAGGAAAGGTAAGTAGCAGAGGGATTTCTTTGATTTAACTAATAAATTCCCCATTCTGACTGGGAACTGAGATACCAGGAAAGTTTCTCTGCCAGTTTGTTAGGAGAACTTACTCCCACATGTTCTTTGGTGATTTCAAAAATCTGAAAAACCAGCTTATCCAAATCTTTAATTAGGGACAGCTTGCTTTGCTTCTTCAAGTCTGTGTTGCTTTTGAAAGTGATATGATACTTTATTTTGGTCAAAGGAAATGTTGAATTTAGTGTAGAAAACCACAGTAAATTATCAACTTGTTTTAGTAATAGTAACACTTAAATGTCAGGCATTTTTTCTGAGCAAAATAAACTTAGAAGGCAAACATAAGTGAAGGTTAAACTCTGTAAATCTCCCTGCTTGCTTGCTTTACATCCGTCCATCATTCTGTATTGATTTTCTAAATCAACAGCCTGGTAGAAGGATTGTAAAGTCATAGTCTCTCTCGTATTCAGATGTGCTGAGCCAATGAATAACTACACAACCCCATACTTGAAGTGCCAACATTGCGTAAAAAATACAGGAAGTTGCTGAAGGGGAGGGAGGAAGAGACTGTGCTGTATGTGTGCCTGTTAGAAGGAGAAAATTAGAACTTAGAAGCTGTTGTCTTTCTTCCAGTTGTTACTTTCTGAGCAGATACCATGTGGTTTCTTTTAGTTGCTGTGAAAGATTTGTGGTCCTGCAGGTGACTAGGTTGAAAAATCTAGGCATCTTTGTGCCTGGACCAGGATCTTAAGTTACAGATAAATGTAATCTTCGTAGCTACAGTCTAATTAGTGTCAGAAGACTCTTAGGCAACGTGTGGGTCGATGTTCTTTATCTTTGCACTGGACATTTGAAGTGTCGCTGATGATCCGAAGAAAACAGAACAGTTCAAGTGTGACTGTGTAGAAGTAATCTAAATTCACAGACCAGCTCTGATAGAGATTCGTTGCCCTTGTGTGGATAATGTGATTGTTGCTGTGCAATTGAATTACATGAACTTTATTTTACTTGACTTTGGAGCTTCTTGTGTGTTACTTATCTTCTAAAGACCTTTTTCAGTGGTGAAATAATGTGTTAAATTAGAGGGAGGACTAATCGTTGGTATGAAGGCATCAGATAAGGTGCAGGGCTTTGTTGTTCGAAGCAAAGGTGAAGAAGTCCCAATAATATAGTCTATATGCCACATGACTAGTCTCTTGGCCTTGCTATGAGGTGGTATTTTCATGCAAAGATCTAGACCACAAGTAACATGAAAAGGCATCTTCGGAATTTGGGATGGCCTGTGTTTTAGTTTGTCTGATAGAAAACAAAAATAAAAAAGAAATTCATCACTGTATGATTGTTGTGTATTCTGGAGCCAGATGGTAAGCATGTTGGAAGGGGGAAGAGCTTTATAAAGCTCTGTTAGTAATAATTATGCGTATTTCCTTGTTCCATAGCAAATATTTAGCAGAATTTGTAGCAGGCTGCCTATTTGACAAACTTTGGATTTTCTTCAGATGAGAGGTGAAAGTGGTATCTATCTTGTTCTTCTGCATTGTTTATGCCACATGCAGTCCCGAGCGTGGCCTCTTGCATTCCAAGTGTGTTACGCATTGCTGAGCCTGTCCCTGCATCACTTAGTAACAGAGCTCCCAGCCCCAGCCGTGATGTCAGGAAGTATTATGGGAAACGAGGTGGTTTTCAGCCAGGAAGCTAACTCCCTTTGGAAAGACAACTACTTGTCTTCAGCTTAAACGATTGCAATCTTTTGATGTTTATTGGGTTCTGCCTTAGCAATACTAAAAATAGTTGATCACAGTAAAGGACATCTGGGAATACAAATTACACTGTGTCTTTCTCCGCTCCTGCATTACTAATTAATGCAAATCAGGGTAGTGAGAGGGAGAACTGGGAAGTTCAGGCTAATTTGCAGGTTATTAGAAGCTTATTCAGGCTGTACTACTTGGAGCCTTACTTTGTGCTAGTCAAGCACTGAAAAGAAGGCTTATCTTCAAATCGCATGAATTTTCAAAGAATGAACACAGTCAGTGCTGACAGCAATTTGAATTGCCAGCCTTTTAACTGATATCTGCCGAGAACTTACCAATGATTTTCTTCTCTCAGAAACTTTCCACATTAGCCAAATGTTTATTTTTCTTGGAAAATTTAATTCGTAATGCATGGCTGACGTCAGAACCACAGCTTGCTTTATTGAATATTCAAGCATTCTGCAAAACCTTGTTTCTTTTTTTTTTTTTTAATAACATGCCAAGTCTGTATTCGATCATTTGAAAAAAGTTTACTGTCTTTTAACTGAACCAGCCAAAACCCACCACACCTCCAGGTAACTGCACCATGGGAAAACTCATACTGAATGGTTGAAGTTTAGTAAAAATGGAAACAATGGAAAACAAGTCCTGTAGCATAGTCGCACTGTCTCACTTGTCAGTAGCATTTCCTGTGCCACATACATTTTTCAGAATAGGATACTGTATTTTTAAAGCTAGACTTGTTCTTTTGTCTAGTGTATTGAAGTAGAACTTTAAGGAGTAGTAAGAAGCTCTTGTGGGTCATAAAAACAGGAAATTGGGAAGCTACTGTATGCAAAGAATATTCCCAATTAATGCAGAATCTGTTCCAATTAACTTTTAGGTATTCTAAAAATTAGATATATTTTAGACCATGTTAATAATGTAATTTTGGTATGGTAGCCATTTTTAAGCTGTCTTATAGGCACAATAGAATTTTTTTGGCAATACGTGTTTTTTTTAAATTGTGAAAGTTCTGTTTTTAAAGTTCTGAATGAATACACAGAACTCTATAATAGATAAAGTTACTACTGGCATTTTTAGATAGAGAAGAAATAAAAGTTGGTTGAATGTACAAGTATATTTTGCTTGTTATTTAAGGTAACAGTGTGATTTGATATTAGTTCAAATCTCAGTGCATTTCTGTTGTGCAAATAGTACTGACCAGTTGACATTTTGTTTTCCAGAGCAAGCTAAACGCAAAATGTTGTAGGAGATCTTAAGGTAGACTTTGCATTGTCTTGAAAATATATCATAGTTCAAATGACCACTTTGAGGATTTTATCTTAGATACTTATGAGCAAAAATGTGTGACTTTTTCATAAAGGAAGTTTATGATGAAAGAGACATTGAATAATTTGACTGCAAATAATATGTGGGTTCTACTTTATAGTGATCTGAGAAAAAATCCTGAGACTACTTTTTTGAAGTATGTAGTATAATGATAGCTTGAGCAATAATAAGTTAAATGTTAAGTCTTACGAGTTGTCTTCTTTGGCTAAAAACTGAGTATTTCAGGGCTCATTTCTACTTAAATCTGTTTTGTATCTTTAGAGATGAAAAAAAAATCTATAATATTAACAGTATAATAACATAGGTACTACTGTTAACAAAATTAAAATCATGATAGTAATTATGAAAACTGCCTAAGGTAAAAGAAGACCTCAGCACTCT